GAGCCCGATGCGGGGCTCGATCCCAGGACCCTGGGATCATGACCTGAGCCGAAGGCAGACGCTTAACGACTGAGCCACCCAGGCGCCCCAGCCTGAATTCTTAATTTGAAAATTGTATACCGTCCTTTTAGGTAGATACAATGTATGTATAATTTGAGTACAAATTCCTAGCAGTGATCCCCTGCACTCACTCATGTTTGGGAGTGCTGCCTTGGCCTCCCTTTCCCTGAGGGCAGGAGAACTTCTGAGAAGCAGCCTTTCATATGGCATCAGGGGAGCTTGGTAGGGGTGGGGTGAAAAGGGGTATTACATGGGGGGGTCGGGGAATTGGGGGCGCAGTGGGGGTGGGAAGTCACAAAACCATTCCATAAATTCTGGATTGTTAGTGACATCCCCTGATCTCCCACCCAGAGCTCCTACTTCTGCTTTATTTTCCCTTTTCCAGTTTAAGCGGCTGCAGGGCAAGAGGAACCGAGGGAGAGAGGAGGTCAACTTTGTGGAGATCAAAGGTGATGACCAGCTCAGTGGGGCCCAGCAGTGGATGACCAAGTCATTGACAGAAGAGAAAACCATGAAGTCATTCAGCAAAGTAAGTGGGAAGGTCTGTTGTGTGGCCCCAAAGCAAAATCTAGGCCTACCCCTGTCCTGACTCCACACCCGATTGTTACTGCCCCAGCACCTTTCACACGTGCCTGCTGCCCGAGCTATGGGGTGTGCGCCAAGCCTCACGGATGCAACCTCTGCCTTCAGAACTTCGCAGCACTTTGCTTTCCATCTGGGTGGTGGAGTCTGGTTGCTGAAATTGAGCAGTTGGAGCAGTTTCCCATCCTGCACTTGGGAAGAGCTTTGGTATATTGTGGCTGCTTCCCTCGCTGGACGGAGCCCGCAGCTGCTCTGCCCTCTGTCTACGGTCAGATCCCTCCTCCGTCTGTTCGAGCTGGGGCCTGGCTCAGCACGTCTTTGAGGTGTGGGCATAACAGCAGAGTCCTGGGGGCTTAGCATCTGCGTGCACAACCCCTCCTCTCTGCTTTCTTTCTGTTATTTATTGTAGCCAGCTGTGGGCTTTTCAGATGCTTTATTCCTCACGCTTCCCACACCGAGCTCCTGCCTTTCCGTGTTCATTTTCTTCAGTGTGATGAACCCCTCTCCACCTAGTAGCTGAGTACAGCAAATGTGGACATTTATGAGCCTGCCACAGGGGGGTAATGTGGGGAAGCCCTGGATTTGAGCCCAGCACCAGCAAGGCCAAGGTCGGGCATCTTATTCCCTTTTCCTCCCCCCGACTTTCTCTGCTTTGTTCTGTGGCCACAGATGGCCATCTGAGCCCCAGCCGTTTGTTTTCACTGAATGCTGGCGGTCATACGGGACAGAGCAAAGGATTGTGGTTAGATCAGCATAGATCCATCACTGTTTCCTGGAAAAACCACTTAGGAGAGCACGCTCTCCTGACTATGGGTCGAGAAGCATCATCGCATAGTAATGGCGCTCCCCGCGGGCCGGGGGTGGTTGATGTTTGCTGTCTTGGATGGTCACGTTAAGTGATGTCGCACAGCAGCAAGGAGTTGCGAGTTTGCTGTTTTCCTGGGTCTGGGTTCTCTTTGCACCATTTCCTTGTATTAAAGCTAGATCTTTTATTTATTTATTCATTTTTAAAGATTTTATTTATTTCACAGAGATAGCGAGAGCAGGAACACAAGCAGGGGAAGTGGGAGAGGGAGAAGCAG